AAGGTGTTCTAGAGAGAGAGAAAAGAGAGTGTGAGTTAGTGTGTGTGAATCTTGTATCTGGATCTTCATTCTAATCAAATCATACAAGATTCATCATCTTCTTCTTCTCCTTTTCTTCTATTTGATCTGACATCATCCGTTTGATTGGGATTCCGCACCATCAAACGGATCTGATTGATACACAAGCATTTTGGAGACTTACATAATGCTTACATAATAGGAGAGTTAGTGTAACTCACCTCTCTTGGTAACTTGAAATACTCTAGTTGCAATATCCAAGTGAACTTCCTTCTTTTTGAACACCTACACAACAATTGTAACACTTATTTAACTTGTGTTTCATAACTATACTTTAAAATATTTACGTTTGCATTACTTTAACTTTTCTTTGATTATAGTGTTTTATTCAGGACCTGATTTCTTAACTTTAAATCCATAATTAGGTTCTGATAAAGTTTTATTCATATAGTTTCCTATTTTAGCTTTCCAGGAATATAAGGATCTTGTCCTAACGATTTTTAGTTGATTTTATATTAGTTTTAAAAGTTAGCCATCTTGAACTGTTACTTTATGGACTCACGTGCAAAGGTGGTAACTTTTACTCTAGGGGGTTAATATTTAAATCTTAGGAAACATTCATGGTATACAAGACACTATGCCCTAACCATATCCTTTGACGTTTCACGAATTAGATTTTTGTAGAATTAATTGAGCATGACATAAGTTGATGTATAATTTATGTAGCTTTCCAGACCATTCTGTACTCTTTTCTTAAACCATACAAATCTAACAGGAATTAAATCAAGCCCTTGATATGGGGCAAACTAGACATCCATATATAACTATAGGCTTTGGATATTTGCCATTTGGATAACTGAGGAATTTATTATGATTTTTATAATACAGAACATGAAATCTGTGACATCACAGACCATTATGAGAAGATTGACCATGTAACCCTTCAAGGGTTTGAAATTTAGAAAAGTGATTTAAAGTTTGAAGAAACTAGACACACTAAGCTTTCCATAAAAGTAACAGTAATTATTTTTAGGTGTTCGGATTGCCTTGAATAGATGTTAGAAGTTGAAGGGCAGAACTGGAAAAATATGACATTTTAGCTTTTCAATCACTTTTGATGTTTTACTAAGGAGTTAATGGTTAAGCTTTTAGTTTAACACTTTTAATACAGATATTGATTACATATGAGGTTTACAAAGTGTATTAAATAACTTTACTCAAAATTCTTAATGTAGGACTTAATGGAGTATAAATTAGGGCTTAATAAAAAATTATAACCTTTTACATATTTTAGGGTTAAGCTTTCATCTTAACCCATAAAGCTCTTCATATAACCATAACTGATAATTAAGTCCTTATACAGGTCAACCACATGTTGGTGGTCCAACGGTGGTGTCTTGGAGGTTAATGGTGGTCGAACCACCAACAACATAAGTACAATGCTATATAAGGCATAAAAAAACCAATACTTGATTTCTTTTCATAGATCTTTGGCCAAGAACTAATCACCAGAGAGGAACCCACAGCGACCCATTCGTGGTGGTCTGTGGTGGCAGGTGGCGTCACCCACCGATGGTAGGATGCTGCCGGCGGTGGTCCTATGGCGGTTTAGGGTGGCAACCCTCAATTACCTCCAAAAAATACAAGGAAAAAAAACAAAGGATGTAGGATGGGCTCATCACACACGTATGCACCCACACAACACAACCACCTCACGGTGGTGGTGGTGGTGGCAGAATCACGCCTGCGGCCTAGGCTGCGCAGGCCATAGAGGCGATGATGCTTCTCGGGAAAGGAAAAAAAAGAAGAAAATAGAAGAGAAAAGAGTATGGCATCGATACTTACTGATACAAGATGCTGTCCCGTGGTTATTCTCTAATCCCCCTCCCTCCGATGAAGACTCCAACTCCGGCAGCAAGAATTCTGACGATATCATCGTCTCTCGATTTCTTCTGATGACGCCACAAGGAGTAATGATAGAAAGTGTTTGGCAGGCTTAAGGTTCGATGGGAGATGCTATACGATCGAGATAGAGGATTTCGGCCCCAAGAAATGAGCCCAAAACAGAATTTTGTCGCTCCCTTGAAGGCTTTAGCGATTTTTCTATTCAACTCCTGATCTTTCCCATAATGACAATTCCTACCCTCTATATGAAATTCTTGACAAATGCAGTTTTGGTTCTTGACACTTTTAGCCCCTAATTCTTCATTATCTTTCATTATTGATTATTGGATGTTATTTCATCTTATTTACTATTATTATTATTAATACTATTATCATTATTATTATTATTTTATTTTCTTTATTTAATATGTAACCACTTATTATTTATCGGATCATTTTTATTCATTTTGATCACCGATAAAATTCCTTAGAATTCCTATCCTTAATTATATAATTATTTATTTAATTAACACTCGATTCCTGAATAACTAATAATAAAACAAAAAAATAGGGCATTAAATTCGACTACATTAGTAATAACCACTTATACCGTTTAGTTATATGTGTGCATTAATGCATTTTAGACAACATTGTGCTTGTCACAACCTCATCCTATTTTGGTCGTGCTATGTAAGAAGATCACTTGCAGTAGGCACAATCAGTAATGCGACAATGAGAATGTCGAAATTCATTGGATATGACAAACGTGAGTTTACTCAAAGTCAAAAGGAGTTACGAATCATGTCGGCAAAGCCAACTTGGACTTCAGCTAGTTACGAGCAACAACAGATGATGGGTCGAACCCAAGTGGGGGAAAACCGACCCTTAAGGAGAAAGTGTGAAAAGTAATTTGACTTTCAATTTCGATGTCAAGTTCCAAGAGATTGGCAACACGAGTAGGCAAAGGTTGTTAGTTTTGATTACGTTGTGCGAATAACAGAAAAAAATAAGTCTTCTATTAGATTACCCATAGGCTATGAGTTTCTTGCTTCTCAAGGAAAGGTAGGTATTTCCTTCCAAGCGTCTGATAGGATTTAGTAATCGGCCAAATTCCCAGGTACGACTCAGATAACCAAGAGAACCATCTAGGTTCATACCTTCACGATTAAGGGATTTATCCTCGTAGTAGAGGATCAATTAGATAAGAAATGCAATAGGTGGCGTAGTTTTCCATAAGAAAACATCAAGTACTCACGACATATACTAGACCTAGAGAATTTGGTTCAAACCATAGTATGGTTTGATTACCTTGTGCAAAGAATTACAGCAGGAAGATCGACATCGACAGAGAGAGTGTTTCCTTCATACGATTGTTTCAAGTCGTCACTTAAGGTGGGTATAGGAAAAATAAAAGATGCCTAGAAGGAAGTCATTCAGGATCGAATATGTCCGTTAAGACAGGCGGTAATACCTTCCAAGGGTTACAAGTGCATCAACAATATACATGATATGATTAGTGAATCAAGTTATTGATCCACGCTCGACCTGATGGTCTCAATGTTACTAGTAGCACTAGAGATTAACTAAGAGACCCTAACATAGATTGGAAAGTGTTCAATTTTAGGAGTGACTCGGTGTTAAAACTTGTGTAAGCAAGAGTAGTTGTTGGAGGTTCAGTTGTGAAGACGCACTCGCTAGATGTCAATAAAAGATCGACCTGCAAGGAAAATATCAAAGGATTTCTTATGAGAGTTAGAACTGCAATAAGAGGGTAGAACATTGTCGGAGAAGCTGTTTAAGCTTTAATGATGCAAGTTTTCGGTTGGCGATAGAGAACAAAAAAAGATCGTAAGTTTTTAGTGTCCGTTTTACATTCACTAAACGATTTAGAAAACCTATTTTTACCCCTAATTTTAAAAATTTTACACAGCTTTTGAGCTTAAAAGGGCGAATTTTTGTTAAATTTCGTGATGGATTTCAAATCTCCTGGTTGATGTTTCTTTGTCCCATTCAGTTGGGATTGACCTGCTTTGGTGGGCCCCTCAACGCTTATTCGATAGGTTGGTGGGAGTTGAACTTCCTTTTATGGTCCAAAGCTCTTAAACGAATTGACGATCCCTTAATTTTTTTTTACAAGTTCACCTAAGTTTCTTAGGTCCCCATCACCTATTCCAAAAGCTATTGGTGGGAGTTGGTTTTCATCTCACGAATTCCAAATATAGCTTTTTAAAACATTCTTGATATGAATTGGCTGCTTGCATTACCACTTGTCATTATAAGCGCAACTCGAAGTCTCTCGGGTTCCCTTCCGCTTATTCAATGGGTTGGTGGGAGTTGGTTTTTGTTTTATGAAAATCAAAATATAAAATGTTGTGCTTTGCAATTGAATTGACGATTTTATTTCACTTGTTATTGCAGTGCAATATGTACTTCACGGATTCCCTACCGCCTATTCCATAGGTTTTGATAGGAGTTGGTCTTATTTTCATGAAGTCCAAATTATTTTTATAATGAATTTGCAAAATTTATTTCTCTTGTTAAAGAAAGTGTGACCTGCTTTGGTGGGTCCAAAAATTCAAAAAGAATTGACTGTTATGGTTGGCGATCAAGATTCTATGAATGATGTTTTCATATGGAAGATATTCGGGTTTGGTTAGATATCCGATTTAAAGATAAATCATTAAGCAACCATTTCAACAAAATATGATTGGGTTATACTTTTAATTTGAAGCTCACGTTGCAGGATTAAAGAGCTCAATAAAATATCAAGTTCAAGTCGATAAGATCTTTTATGTTTCAGGAACAAACATGCAATCGAACAAAAGCAAAAGACAAAACATGGACAAAACATTGAGTTGAGTTTTTATAAAGTGAAATTCAAGAAGGAAAGGGCTTCGTTGACTTTAACTCATTTTAGGAAGATTTCATCAGCAATATCTTGACTCTCCTGCCACCGATCTAGGAGAACATGATCCTCCTCCATCTCCATTGCCACCTTCAAACCTCTACCACCCATCACCTTCACCATCACCCCCCTTCTCCACTCCACTATCGTGACTACCATCTAGACCCAACACCCACCATATTCATCACCAAAACTCCATCTTTAACCCTTACTAGACACATCACCCTTATCCAGCCATCATACCACCACCCATTACCACAATCTTTACAGATGCTTACCCTCTACCATTGTCACTCTTCAGCACCCCCAAAACACCACCCTTATCCTTCCATATCAGCCACCATTGACTCATCTTCATAATCTTCACCTTAATCCATCACCATTCCCACCTCCGCAGCCTCCATTCATCCACCTTCATCATATTCTTTTCCCCTTTTTACCATACCAACACCCACCACAAACATCCAACAACCTCCACCATAAACCACCCTTCATCATCTTCACCTTAAACCAACCTGAAACCCTTAACCCTCCTTTTTATCGCCACCATCAATACACCACTGTCTCTTTCCCCTTTTCTAACCTCTACCTTCATGAGCCCTTCAGTGTCATCAACGAGTTCAACGCAAGGACCTGATCGAACCGGGGTGGGAAACAGAAAAAGAGATACCTGCAATTGATTTTAAGAAGAAGAGGATTCCTTTAGTACTATTGATCAAGCGAGAGGAAGAAAACACAAAAAAGGGGCAGACTTGTTCGATTTCCAACTGGGAAGCTAACACGCACGCATATGTGATCGATTTTAAGAAATCAATAAGAGAAAGGTGAGATCGATTGAAGATGGTGTCATCGGATTCTATGAATTGATCAGGAAGGAGACGCACAAAGAGTGTTGGATCGATTTTTCTGTTGCTGGATGCTGGCATACACGAAGACACACAAGAAATCGAATGGGCTGCAATCTTTCATTGGGTTAACATTTTCACTTTGGTCTAATCAGATCTCTTCTTTGGGCTCCCAATCACACGTAGAAATCGAGTCAGGGCCTCAGGGGGGTACTTTCATTCAAAAAATTTAACATCATTTACTATTTTGTGCGATATTTATAATTATTTTTGTTAAACGAATGATGTTTTAACCTAATTTAGTGATTGCTGTTTGTTTTAATTTTATGGAGTAATTTTTATTTTGGGGTTTAGTTGACCTGGGAAAAATGATAAATTTTTATGTGTTAAGTTAATTGATACAAAGTGTGTGGTAATTGCTTGATGTTCAAATGTATGTTTAGTGTCAAAATTGCTTAATGAAATTAGATTAATTGACAATATTTATTATCTGGCCAATAATAGATGTTAAATATTAATTCGGATATCATTTTGAAATTAATTGCAACTCTTGACTTTAGGATGAGCTAGTTGGGAAATCATTTGAACATGAGTGTGTGATTTCGTGATCCCACCTAAAATCAGCATAGACATGTGTTGATACATTTTTAACAAAACCATTAAACTAAATGCTATTTAATTTCATGAGCTACATTGAGATATGAGTGTGTGGTTTTAAATCGAATCATGACACCTAGAGGTATTTGATAACTTTAGATGGTGTTAGCAAATTTATTACCACCATATTTGTGTTAATTACTTAATTGCGTTAGATAAACCATTGAACATGTAAATGTCAATTTAACCCCACTTTTCACTAGTCTGCTAAATCTCAAGTTGCGTGTTTGCCCCTCTAAGCCACTTTGGTTTCTAGTATTGCGTTACTCAATTTTCTTTTTGTTTGCTTTAGAAATATTGGTAGTCTTAGTTTTATTTTATTTTAGTTTAGTTTTTGAAATTAGTTTTCATAGTTTAATCAAACCAAATCATTTTTATCAATAACTACTTGATTTATCTTCCCTTAAGATAGATAGTCCATGTGGGTTCGATATCTTACTTGCACGACTATCTTACTTGCACGACATGGTATACTTGCGAGTACACGTTTTCATCAACAAGCTTTTGGCGCCGTTGTCGGGGATTATTCTTATTTTAAGTTAAAAAATTAGGTAGTTATTTTTTAGAAGCATGGAACATCTGAAATAGTTTACTCTGGCCGATCGAAGATTGAGTAGCCGAATTCGCACTTGATTTGGAAATTGGAAGAACTTTGAGAAAGTTAAGGAGGTTGGGAATTCAAGAAGAAACGCCTAAACGGGAGATAACGAAAACAACAATGGAAATGGATGTTTCGACGGGACCAATCCACCAATTGTCAATCCTACGGTCACTACTAAAAATTTCGAATTCAAACTTGTGATGTTCCAAATGATCAATAACAATGGTCTTTTTGCAGGTATGCCTAGCGATAAGTAATTGTCCCATCCGCGTTCCTTTAACCAGATGTGTGATAATTTTAAACAAAAAGGCATGACCGCTGATGCATTGAGAATGAAATTATTTCCCTACACACTTCAAGGGAAAGCTTGAGACTGATTTGAGTCTTTGCCGTCAGATTCCATCACCACTTGATAGGAATTAAGAGAAAAATTCTTGAAAAGGTTCTTGCCGCCCACCAAAATTGCAAATTTGAGAAATATTATCATGTCTTTTCAACAATTCAATGGAGAATCGTTATGGGAAGTTTGGGAAAGATGGAATAATTCGCTGAGAAAATGTCCAACAGGGACTCCTTGATAATGTGAAATTAGAGATATTCTACCAAGTATTAGATGCTCATACATGCATGTTGGTAGAAACTTCAGTCGGAGGAGCATTACTTAGCAAGAGTTCCGCGGAGAGCATGGAGATTTTAGATAGAATAGCAACCAAGAACTTCCAATGGTCGGAAGATAGTATACAAACAGGGAATGCAAGAGGAAGTGCAACATCTGAAGCTCGTCTTGCATCCCAAAGTGATGCATTAGCATCTAAGTTGGATTCGATCAAGAGTATGATGAAAAATATAATATCAAGCAGTGGTGTGAAAGATAAGAAGGTTGACTTTTGGGTGTTTTGTCAAAGATAGACATGATTATAGTGAATGCCTACAGAACCGCGAATCTGTGTTTTTCATGGAAAGGAAAAATTTCCCAAAACAAAACAACCCCTACTCAGAGACGTACAATCTAGGATGGAGAAATCATCAAACATTTTCATGGGGATGATGTCAGCAACAACAAATGCAACCCCAACAAGGGCAGTATCTACAAAGGTCTCAAAACCCTCCAGGGTTTTATCATATCCAAAATCAGCAAATGAGACCATAAGAATGATGGGTATTGTGCAAAACATATAATTACTATGTGATGCAGCCATAATACTTGATCTACGTTTTCTCTTGAACATACAACTTTGAACAACAAAATAGAAACCCTAGAACACTAGCATATTTTTGAAAATACATATAGGGTTAGAAGAATCATACCTTGATTGCTATTTAGTAATATCAATGCAAATCCTCGTGTTGTTGAAGCCTTGAGAGCAAGTATAAAAAATGCCACGCCTCTAGTGGTTCACGCCCAACACTAGCAATGGAAGATGATTGTGAAGGAGGAGAGAGGAAACCTAGATAAGACCAAATCCAAGATTATCTTAAACCGGGTAGGTCTTCCAAGAAGCAAGTGGCCAAAATTCATAGGGTTACAGCCCTATTTATACTGAAGACAGAAAACCTAGATAAACCCAAATCCAAGATTATCTTAAACCGGGTAATTTTCCAATATCCTGTTTGTCCACCAGGGATTATTCTAGAAACCATTAGGCCTTAAGAAAACCGTCCAAGCCTATGGAGGGTTCTAGATTGCCTCGTGCTCAACTTTTGAACAATTACACTTCAGCCCCTGCACTTTTAATTAAGCATTTTAATCCCAAAATTAATTCCAATTAATTTCTGATTAAATATTAATGAAATATTACTATTTCTAATTAATATATTATTCTCTTAATATATTAACAAATTATTTATTTCAATTTATTAATCAAATAATAAATCAACCTCTTTCTCAAAATTCATCCTATGTAGTTTCTAGTCTTGAGGGCAACCCAAAAGGACTTAGCTACTATCAATTCAAGTATATACCAATTATAGTTATGGGCTTAGACACCTAATATAACAGTCTCCTACTTGGATAAGTCTAATAACTATAATTGCAGTGTAACTTCCAAAACTGATTAGTAAATTGTAGCTCTCAAAGGCCGCTGTTGAACTCTGATCCAGTTAGTTGTGTGTCCTAAGATAAGTGATCATATAATCCTCCGTTCTGCAAGATATCAAAATGACATGGAACATAATCAATCTCATTGTCTAATATTTTGTTTCCCGATTTCTGATTTGTAATGACAAAGAACTACTAATCGAACACATCCATTTAGTCCTGTCCGGGCCTAGCACTATAAGTCAACACCAAATCATCGAGGGGCCCAATTATATCGCTTTTCCCCTTAAGGACAAAAGGAATAGATAAACTTTGACTTATATGCTTGCACTATTTACTCATCAAATCAAGCACAACAATACATTTTATAACATCAAGTTACTGATTTGTTTACGTATTGTAAATGCAAAACCAACTTCTAAACAACAACTCATATATCTCCGTTTAAAGATTATAAGATATTATCATCTCAGAATTACTCGTGATAAATTACATGACTAATTCTATGAGTGTGGGTTAATCCAATACTTAAATTCTCCATTTCAAAGTACTCATGAACATTGCAGCAAAACTATTGCTATGTCCAAAACCTTTTTAGACAATCTACAATCCAATTCATGACAACCTTAATTCATTACTTATTTCCAAAAGTATGATTGACTGTGGATGTTTGAATAATCCAATTATTCCGGAAGTAAAACATGCAAAATGAAACACAATAATAAACAAGTGTACAATACTCATAAATAATTCTCCATTATTTAATCATCAAAAGTCAGTTACATTTACTTTGTTACAAGTTTCTAAATAACTATCTAATAACCAAAACGAATATCATCCTTCAGACCAATGCTCCTGGCATGCTGAACGTGCTTAATCCTACTCAGACCCTTTGTGAGGGGATCTGAAGGATTCTCTTCTGACGATACCCTCTTCACCACGAGGTGTCCTTCTTCTACTCTACGTCTGATGAAATGGTATTTTCTATCGATGTGTCTTGATCTACCATGATCTCTCGGTTCCTTTGTAAAGGCAACCGCCCCTTCATTATTACATGTTAGAGCAATAAACTAATGATCGAAAGATTCAATAACAGAAAAGAGAATCAAACAAGATGAACAATTGATCAAGAAGTGCCGAATGATTAAATTATAAAAGCCTTAGAAGAGTTCAACGTGAACTTCTCTGTAAAGGCAATGTAGGGCGATACAATTGATAACCCTAATACGATGCATGCATGCACTATAAATAGTCTAACCCTAATATCATTAAATATCGGGTGGACAGGCCCAACCCTTTACAAATAGACTATTCTAAGTATAATACAATTGACACAACATTATTTACCCCAACAATCTCCCCCTTTGTGTCAATAAAGGAAGGTAGATTCTTCAGTGCTGCTGACGCTTCTGAACCTTGAAGAGTTTCGGCTTTAAACCAAGAAAACTGTTGTGAACCAGGATATACCATTTGATCATATCTACGAAGCACTTCTTAGCCGCAACATCATTTGCTTTGCGTTATTCAGTAATCCCCAAGATGTAGTTTAGACAGGATGTAGAATAAAGATGTTTGTCTGATAAGGATAACAAACACTTCTGAACATTTACACCAGCTCTATCACTTTGTTGAAACGCCATGCTCCAGTTATCCTTTTGGATTTTACCCATATTCAACTTCGTGATATCCTTCGGAGCTTCTTTAGGTAGCACCGTGGGTTTCTTTTTTAGTACAGCCACGATCTCCACATCCATTTTGCCGATTTCTTGAATGTAAGAGACCAACATCCTTTTCAGATGTAATATCATTAAAATTCGAGCCAATTTAAAACTTTTTAAATCATTTAAAACGATTCAGTTATTACAATTTGTTTT